TAGAGATGAACCCTTTGTGTCTCTCTGGCAAGATGTTCTGCTCCTGAATCAGCTGGGTGGGTCTTGCCTCTAGCCTCTTTGCAGGGAGTTCTGCTGAAGGATTCTGTGCTGGGCCTACACTTGGTTGAATGAGGATCCGCAGGCCCTGGGTGGTCTCACTCACTCGCTGGGCCTGAACTCTGGGTCTCTCCCTAAGGTTTCTACCTACTTTCTTTTCTAGAAGATTTAGTTTTTTAGTTTTAATATTTAAATCTTTGATCCATTTTGACTGTAGTTTTGTGCATGGTGATAGACATGGGTCTATTTTAAGCCTTCAGCATGTAGAAAGCAAGTATTTCCAGCATCGTTTATGAAAGAGGCTATCTTTCTTCCAATGAACATGTTTGGCCCTTTGTCAAAGATAAGGCTGCTGAGTGTGCTTGTAGTTGCGTCTACGTCTTCTAATCTGTTCCACTGATCCACAGGTCTGTTTTTATGACAGTACCATACTGATTTTATCACAGTAGCTTTGTTGTATAATTTCAAGTCAGGGATTGTGATGCCTCCCAATTTTTCTTTGTTACCCAGGATTGCTCTTGCTCTTCTATGTTTCTTCTGGTTCAAGATGAATTTTGGAAATTTTTTTCTAAATCTTTGAGGTATGTTAATGGTATTTTAACTGGGGTTACATTGAAATTGTATAACAGGAATATGGTCATTTTCAAAACATTGGTTCTTCCTATCCAGGAGCAAGAGGAGTTCCATTTCTTAACTATACTTAGCTATACTACTAATTTCTCTTACTTCACTGAAAAGAAAATTTTCACTAATATTGTTTGGAGAATTTTTATGCCCATAACTTGTACTCTGAGTAACTACATTAAAAATGGCAGTACTCAATGCATTAACTATTGTCATTCTATTATTTTGTTATGAAATTTTGTTTTTTCATAAAAAAATAAAGATTCATATTAAAATATTTACAGATAAAATAAAGAATGCAGAAAGAGTTTGCATGTTCCAAGTCTATGGTTCTTCACAGAGTTTAAGTCCAGAGCCCATTTATCCAATCTTTCAATGTTTTACAACCATTACAGTATTTAATTCTTCATATTAAAACTCTTTTTTGTGGGGCTGGTGAGATGGCTCAGTGGTCTAAAGCACCTACTTGGAACAAGCTTGGCAAAGCACAGGGACTGCGGTTCAATTCCCCAGCACCACATGCCAGCCAGCCCCACCCCCAGGTGGGATGAGCTGGCCACACACACACACACACACACACACACACACACACACACACAAATAAATAAATGTTAAAAAAAATAAAATTAAAAAAAACCCCAAAAACTCTTTTTTGTATAATTCAGTCTTTGTTTCCTGATTTCATCTGACTGATATCATCAGCCATAGCAAGTAGAGCCCTGTCTCTAACCTACTCGTGGACAAATAAACAAATATGGTCTTTTGCAAAAGATTTAGGCATTATAAGAAAAATAAAGTGACACCTCAAGTTCTCCCACTCATGATTTTCCCTAATTTTTACTCATTCACAGAAAAAAACTTATTTGTTATGTGTTCTGCTTCCTGTTGTCTCCATACATAATACATGCTGATTAAGTGTTTATATGTGTATCTGTTTTACATATATGGGGCCATACTATGTAAATTTTTCATTTTTTTACTTTCTATGTTGTCCTACATACAATTTCATCACTATAAATGGCTCTAATCAATTGTTTAGTAGTTTGTAGTGTGGATACACTGATATTTATTTAAAAATTATATTTGCCTTAGTCTAGGTTCCAACAGAAAGCAGCTCCACCAAATCATAAAAATTCAAGGAATTTTATATGTATAAAGTCTAAGTTTAACTACTGATACAGGTTAGGAGAGGTGCTGAATAAACTGCAGCACATAGATGGCCGCCACTCTGAGGGAGAAGTTACCAAGACTTAGATTTATTTTTTAT